GTGATAGTGAATATGATTGGTGCAATACCGCACGAATTCAAATTGTCTGAACTCGGTGTTATTCTTGTAGGTTGCAGGCAACTGCACAATGACCTCCCTCAGACCTGCAGAATTGTTTAAGACACTGCGTGTGTCAGGCGGTTCAAAGACTTTGTTGAGCTGCATTTCTCCCTTTTTCTGTGACTCTTCATCGGACGAGGATTAACAGGGTAACACCACCAACTACCAAAGACGTTCAAGCCGACGTGTACACTGCACACTCAGCCTATACCATATAAGGCTAGATATAGCTATTAAGCTAAGGAGGCAGTCTAAAAGATTCAATGCAACGTCGAATGTTGAGACATTTCTGATCGTTTCTCGCACTTACAAGCGCGTTGTGTAAGTAGCTCAACCGCATTTGCTGGCTACCCTGTTAGAAAAAGGGCTTATTTTCTAGGCATATATAAATGAGAGTTTAAGCACATCCGTGTTGTTCTCCTGAAAGGTTTTCTAGATGCAACACTTCGCGTATTCTGTTGGAATCAAGAATCCCCTTGTTTGCGACCTACGTTCTCTTTCCTTTTTTATAAATTATTGTAAATCCCCAAGGGAAGTCTTGGAGCTCATTATGAGGTGGAGTTAACGAGCTAGCCACTCTAAAGTCCTCTAGTTCTTCGTACAGATTCAAAAAACTAGTGCTCATAGTAGAATGCCACTTCGTTATCCTCAGGTTAATTTCCTTTCTGTAAACGTGCTGCCACTTTTTTATCTTTGCACGAGCTACGTGCTAATGTAGAGTCAGTACTCGAAGGTTTGTTTATTGCAGCATTTTGTCCGCCTTGTTCAAAATAGTTATGGGCCGTTGTCAGCAGATTGAGTTTCTTATCGCCATTCAATTTTTTTACGTTCAGTGAATTGAGAGAGGGAGGGAGATAGAGAGAATACTTGCTTTCTTTAAGATGAAACATCATGATTTTTCAGCGAAAAATGGCTCCATTCACGGAAAGCAAAGGATAGGTTAAGCAATGGGTCATGGTAAAAGGTAATGTAATACTCAAAATTAAAGTTTTACACTATATCCACATCTACTATGGAGACAGATCAGCTTTAAACTTCTCAATTTCCGCTTCTTCACACGT